AAGTACATGGTTGCATCACATGTCAACAGTCCAGACCGGAGATGCCGCAAGCCCCTGTCCACTGATGGGAGGACACTCACACACCATGGTCAAGAATCCACATTGACTTTGCCAGGCCCTTTTAGGGACAGCTGTTTTTAATAGTGGTCAATAGCCATTCGAAACGATTAGAGGTTGCACCAGTTCCCAATATAACTACTGCCAGGACTATCCAGGAACTGCGCAGAATCTTTGTAACACATGGGCTTCCAGACATCTTAGTATCAGATAATGGGACTCAGTTTACTGCTTCAGAATTCCAGTCCTTCCTCAGGACAAATCTCATAAGGCATGCCACGTCGGCTCCCTTTCACCCGGCCTCAAACGGCCAAGCGGAACGCATGGTCCACACAACTAAGGAGTCCCTAAAACGGATTGTCACAGGAAACTGGCACCACAGATTGGCAGACTTTCTATTCTGCCAGCGTACAACTCCCTACACAGCCACGGGCAGAAGCCCAACTGAGCTACGTTGGGGCCGACATTTGATCACTAAGCTGGAAGGCTCCACCCCAACCGAGTTGCATCGGACTCTGCACAGCCAAAGGCGCCCAGAAGTCTGCAAGTGGGTGACTGGGTTTGGACCCAGAATTACGGGCAAGGGGCTTTGTGGATGGCAGCAGTGGTTGTAACGGTGTCAGGGCCATTTTCCTACGAGGTGGTCCTCGAAAATGGGCAAGTCATTCGCTGGCACATTGATCAGCTGCATTGGTGGCTGGCGGATCAGTCACCGGCTCAGGACTCCCAAGAGGGCCACACACAGGGCCCACATGACAGCGGTCCAACAGAAGGGTTTTCATGCTGCGACAGGACACTGCCTCAAGGAGATGGGGGAATGGCCGTAGTAGAGCCTCCTCCGGACACACAGACTGCCTCAGCTGAACAGGACAGGCAAACAGCACTGAGAGACAGCTCTGCAGACTTTGCTGCACAAGTGGACTTTGGTTTGGGTCGACTGGGACTGGCCAGCCAAAGAGACTCGAGTCAAACCAACTCCACTGAACCTGAGTCCTGATCTACCCAGCCTGGCAGGCAAGCAGGTAGACCATGACACCCCAGCAACCCTTAGGTGTTCTGAATGATCAAGAAGGCCACTTAAGTATCTGCAAGATTATATCCAACAGTTAAGGGTTTGAACTATCTAGGGGGAAGGGGTGTAATATATTGGTCACAACTGTTTTGAATCACTTGCTTAATGTCTAATCACTTGTTTGAATGTCTGACCTAGATTCTGTTGTTATGTAATGGCTGCTGTTATTTAAGCGAGACTTGATATCTCCAGGCTGATAATTAGGTTTTGGGTGGGAAACTGTTACTTTAAACCTATTGGCTGCCGCCTGGAGGCTAACCATATAAATAGCTGCATAGCATCTATTTGAGCTGTTTTCTGTTCAGAGTTAAATAAACTTGTTGCTGTTTCAACACTTGTCTCGCTTAATGCCTTCAAGAACCAAATACTTAACAGAAACTTTACAGTTAAAATCTCCCCTAGTATTATAGTCTGATTACATTTTTTTGTAATATATTTTATTGATTTTTTAAAAATATAAATCACTTAATAATTGGTGAACAGTGTGTTGTCTGGGTTACATTTGTAAAACAATCACTAACAATTGATTTCTATAATTCATAATGTACATAATAGTTTTAGTTGATTTCCTCTTTTCCCAAAGTATCCTCTTTTGCAAACATTGAGTTAATACAATTCTTATTGCTTTGATAAATAACAATTAAATATATAATTTTTTCCCAATAGTCCTAAAAGTAATAATCACATCAACATAATATTTCTTTTCTATCCAATCATTCTGGTTTTCTTATCATAGATCCTATTACAGTCCTTATTTTAATTTATTTCTCTCACCAAATTCTAGATATTCTTACTGGTTAAGATTTTCTCAAAAATTAAGTACATTTAAGAATTTAATTCTATTTTTCCATATGAACCATCTCACACTTTTACGTTTCTTAAGAAATAGATAAAACAGTAGAAAAAAAGAAAGAAAAGCAAGAGTAAAGAACCATAAAAATAACATACTACTTAAAGCTGTGGTGGCGAACCTATGGCCACAGGTGGCACGCAGAGCCCTCTCTGTGGGCACATGCGCCGTCGCCCCAGTCCTAGGCCTACAGCTGGGTTTTATAAAACCTTTTTTGCCATGTGCAAAAAAAGGGGATTCAATCAATCAATTTCAACTTCTCACAGGAAAAAAAAAAGATCTCACAAAGTTGGAATTATATAGAATGAACTTTTTAGTCACACCCAGTCTGACATAACCTCAGCCACGCCCACCCAATGGGCCACATCCACCTGGCACCCGACAATACATAAGTGGGTTTTGGGTTGCAGTTTGGGCAGTTTCTAAAAGGTTCGCCATCACTGACTTAAAGTATAAATCCCTCCTAAGCTAATATGTATTTATTTCCTAAATTTCTTATTCTTTTTAACCATAATTAAAAATATGTTTAGTCTTTAAACATTCCATTTAATACATCTAATCATCTAGTCCTTTAACTCTTATTCAAAACATTTTTATTCATTATAATTTTCTTAAATTCAATCACATTTAAATATCTAAAACATTTCCTTTATCTAACTCATTTCAACTTTTTTATATTAATCATATCAAGATAACAAAAAAGGGAAAAAAGCATATATTTAGAAAATTGATCCCTCTTAGAATGACATATATATTCCAAAACTTTTCTATTTCTTTACCCATATTCAAACAAATGTTTCTTTTTAAAGTATTATCTCTGATAAGTCCCATCATCTATTTTCTTAGTTTCCACTTTAGTCTTTTTCTTTTGCCCAGTGTCTTAATCAATGTATTTTGCTGAATCAAAAAGATTTTTCCGTATGTTCGTAAATGTTGCTATAGATATAAAAAATAAATCAGGGGAAGTGTCTTTGTACGGGACTTCTGCCTTTCCATGTTTGTTGAAAATCTTTTTCTTTTTCTTTCTCTCTGCTTCTCTTATCATTTCCTTTCTCTCCAATGTTCTTGACATCTCTACAGTCCATTTTATCTGATCTGTTTTCTTATCCTCAGATTTATTTTGTAGTCTTAATGGATAAATTGTTTTTTTCCAATTCTTGTGATTTTTTTCCACGAAGATTAAATCATGTTTCCTTGTTTTGTTAAGTTCCATCTTAAAGTGTCTATTCTCAATTTTATATCCATTTATCTCTTTTATCTGCTCCTTCTCTATTATTGTTTTCTGGGAATTTTTTTGTTGTAGAGTTAACTTGGAAATAGATTGATTTATGTTTTCAAAGTTGTTTTGGATTTCTTTAAAGTCATTGTTGTTTGAATTAGTTGCAGTATACCATATATCTCCTCCTGTGATGTATTTATGTTTTCTTGATATGTTCTTTCTACGTGTCCCTAGCCAAGGATTTGAGTTTTCCTCTTTCTTTTCTCTGTAAATAGCTTTAGAGTCCCAATTAGATAGATACTTGTAATCTAAATAGTTCAAAAAAGACTTTTTGTTCTGAAATTTATAATTCTCTTTGTCTACAGCCCAGATTATTGTCTTTTTTTGTCACAGCTGTTCTTTGTTGTTAAAGCTTTAAAGGTCACAGACATAGATAGCTTTTCCCAGATTTTGCCAAGTCTTATATTAAAGTCATAGCTGTCATAGTCTTCATCTGCCACTAGATGTCAGTAACTATTCATTTTTCAATTTCCAAAATGAACAATTATCCTTGAAACGAGAGTCTTAACCATTAAAACAATTTTAGATTTATCCAGATTTAAGTTTTAAGTTTCAAGTTTTATATTTATTTCACTTCCATATATTTTGATCCTCCATAAAAAGATTAATTTGCTGCTCCCATTAGTATAAAGGTAGGGCGGAAATCCTCCCCCTTCCCTTTTAGAGGTATTTTGCTTCTTGGGGATCTTTTCCAGGGAATTAAGTGTAAACTAAAAAAGAGAAGATCAAATTCCTCACCCAGTTTCACCATTGTGCTGGTTAGTGCTTTTGGACTTTGGTTGCAAGTAGCTTGGGCTGGTTGATGCAATACAGCCAGCCTTACTCCTGTCGGGTTAGAAGGCTTTCCCCAAATCGAATGGAATGGCCGCTTGCAGGAGTGCGGAGAATCTGCAAGCCTGCGACTGGTTGCTACTGTACAAAACTGGAAGTCCTATAGTCTGATCACATTTTAAACAACTCAGAGGAAACAAAATATTCTATACAATTTAGAGAGAAAATTTCCATCACAATGTTTTTGTTTTCTCTGAAACCTCAGCCAACCCATACAATACGGAGATTGTTTATTAAAATGTTACACCTCAGTTTACAAATAAAGAGAGTTTAGTGCTGTGCAGAGGGCATTCAAGGGAATGGAGCTTGGGATACAGTGATAAATTGGGACATTAGAAAATAGTTGCCCCTAAAGCAACAGATCTGTCTACTTATATACAAATCTTTACAGTAGGTTTTTTTTTTACTGCAGATATACAATCCCAAAGCAATTGAAAAAATAACTGAAGAAAAAAGAAAAGAAAGGAAAAGAAAGCTATCAATAAAACGAGTGGTGATACTATTCTGCATAGTTCAGATATGGACATCTGATAGCTTCCTCTTTGCGCTACCTCGAAGTATTTATAATTCTTGAGTGACAGCTGTCAGATACTATTTCCCAGTTTAAGCTATTCACTGACTAATTCTTCATGGGAACAAAAATAATCTTCAAGGCAAGTAGCTGAATCACTTTATGTCAGTGGTTCTCAACCTTTTTAATGCTGCGACCAACTGGTCGTAAGTCGAGGACTACTCAACCAGTCGTAAGTCGAGGACTACTCAACTGGTGCAGCAGCATTTGCAGAATGGGACTTTTGGCGGGCTCAGCAGGGCAGAGACAGCCTGGACAATTCCTATTGGCTTTTGAAAGCCAATAGAATTAGGCTCTATTCAAGAGAGTCTATTCTATTGGCTTTCAAAAGCCAATAGAATAAAAGGGAGTAGCACAGCTAAGGAAAAGGGGAAAAAAAATGGTGGACTGCGTTTGGTGACCCCCGTGAAATGGTCGTTCGACCCCAAATGGGGTCCCGACCCACAAGTTGAGAACCACTGCTTTATGTGGACAGAAGCAAGTTACCAGCCCCTCTAACGCTACCTTCTACTTGATCTTGAGAATAAGACTGAATGTTTCCCGCAGAGTCTCTATACTTCAATGTATTGAATGCTAGATGTGATCATAGCTGCAGGTATCAAGAGAAACAAAGCTATATGGTCTACAGCAGGGCTCAGTTCAATACTGACTAGTATTAGCTGAGTCACTTGATCCTAATAACATTTATTTAGAAATAAAATCTCCCGATTTAAAAAAAAAAACCTTCATGAAGATAAAACTGCAGTCTTAATTTTAAGATCATAGCTTAAGAGCTATGAATATTTAAAGAAGAAAATAACCACCACCAAACAGAAAAACCACAGAAAATATCTAAACAAGTGCAGAGGAACAGGAAGAATACAAGATCAACCTCTGAATGGCTGGAAGTACCATCCAATATGACCTCCTGTGCAAAACTTCAATGTTTCTTGACCTTGTTGGCATCCATTACTCTCTGGCAACCACTGAAGTGCTTCCAGGCATCCCAGATGAGAATGGAGGGAATGATAATCCACGGACCATTCATACAGACAAAATAAAACCAGAAGTAGATAGGGTGCCACATCTCACCATGGCAAAAGCCATCACGGTATGCAGTGTAGAAGTAGAGAACGTCACCATATAGTTGACCTATGGTTAGAGATAGACAACATGGCTGGTTAAAGTAGGAAGAAAAGATCAAAAGTGGACAAGCCAAAAAAGAAATGCAGTCAGGTGTATGGAACATTAACCAAGAATAAAAATATTAAATTAATTGCTTTTGAAAGATTGCATTAACATTTATATATCCTGACATACCTGCCTATCTTGCATACCTACCTACTGACACCACTAGCTGCAACACGTATCGATGGGACTGACGTGAAAGAAATGCGACTGCAGTCCAAAGACTGAAGGGACCCAAAAAACAGGCATTGGTGGTTTCCAGGCAAACTATGAAATTATCTGATCTGCAGATACAAAAATGAAATAAATGTCACCTTCAGTCCCAAAACATCCCAACTTTCTTACAGTTCACTACATTCAAACTGGAGGGGGAGAAATGAGATGATAGACAGACAGACAGATAGATACCAATTTAGGAAAATGTTTCATTTTATTTGATGAAGTAGAAAATGGAATGCACCTCATTCAAAGCCACAAATAAATGCTTACAAACTGTACTCTTATTGAGCTAAACCAATTAAATGCCATCCTGGTTTCCCTGATGCATGAAAATACACAAAGATAATAAAACCACCTCAGGCCAAACTGCAGAATTTGATGCAAGTGAGGAGATTGAACTGGTGCAAGTTTTTTCCATTCAAGCCTTGCCCATTTTATTTTCCCAAGCTCAATTACTATGGCTGAGGGGAAAAGAGAAAAAAAATGAATTAAAAATAAATGGGGAAAAGTAGAATTTAGCCATCCCTTGCAGATAAAATAGTCATGCTCATCAACCAGATCTTCCACTGAGCTGGGGGAACCCCACTGATAATATTCATCTCAAAAGTTCATAAATATGAGACTGGAAAACAAATATTATTCCCCAATATGCTCTTTTAAGGCATGAATAGAATTCAATGGGATGTTTTTTTCTAAAATAATTTAGAAATATAAAAGATTAGGATCCTTAAAAGAAATGCAGGAATTCCTTTAATTTTGTTGTACTCACCCTATTAAAAAACTGTCTTGGCAACAGAAAATATATTAAGAGAACTCATGCAAAAGTTTGAACATCTCAGCTATATTTATGTTTGCATTATGTCAAATCATCCCTTCCCTATCCCCGTACTCAGATGAGGTACTTGTGTTCAAAATTGCTGAATCTTTGCAGAAATATCCAGACCTTTGCCTGTCATTTTAAAGTTAACACTTACATCATATATCTGCTGTCACCTTTGCTATATTCCTTCCCTGGAAGATATAAAGAGAAATTAGTAGAAAAAGAAATTCATGGGAACTGCAGTAGGGACAGTTTGTGAATTTCCCTGTATTTTTCTTAAATATTAATTATAATAGAATTGTGCACCACTCTTTAGATAAAAGGCAAATAGATGCTTGGAACACCTAGAGGTGCAGAAGTGATACCTGTCTCCAACTCCTTAATCCAAACACATCTATTCTGAAATTTCAAAGTACTTACTATTGTAGAAGGCAACATATAATGAATGTGAGATTATGAAGACCACATGAATGCTATCACACCAATAAAACTTTCTAAATACACGAGGACTTACTTTAGCCTAAAATCGTGCTTTTTGGTAACAAATGCAAATATTAAGAAACATACATTTTCACTTCTTGCAGTTTTGATAATACTAGAAGGAATCAAACACTCTTAAATTCAGATGTAGTTGTCGAATCTGAAGGTTTTAGTGTGTTGTATGTGTACCCCATTCATTATGGCTTATTCAGCAAACCATGGCAAAGCCAGATGTGCAAAGTGAATTATTGTGACTAATATAAAACGTAATTTTTCTAATCTGATTTCTGCTTCCCTTCTTGTTACAATTTCAAAGCATAGCATTATAGCTATATGTTTTTTACCTAGACTTTTATAAGGATTAAGTGATTTGATACTGCAGATTCTGTACTGCTGGCTCCAATTCCCAGGAACCGTTATGGGTAATGATATTTCAGCTGACATACTATTATCACTTCTGCAAAAAATGCAGCTTTCTAGGTATATATATTAATATAAATATATAAACCAACTTGTCCACTTTGAAAACTTTCAGGTATGCTGGATTTCATTTCTCATTTTCTCTCACATATGTGGAAAACATTAGGTTGAAGATACTCCATGGATTAACAAATCTCAACAAATATCATATCAAGTTCCTATATGTGGGACTTTTCTTATGAAGTATTAAGAATCAATAATCCACATGCACAAAAAAAGGATAGAGCTCTATATGGAGAGCATAGAAGAAGCATTAAACTATTCCAGTGTTATAACAGCTGAATCCAGTTTTATCTGCACATTTTATATTTTCCTCTCACTCTTATTGCATAGGTAGTCCTCATTTAATGTCCACTTGTTCACTGGCTGTTTGAAGTTACAACAGTGCTGAAGAACTTAAAACTGTCCTTGTAGTTGTGGCCATCACAGCAGCCTTATGGTCAGGTTCATGTGGGTCAGGTACTTCCAACTGGCTTGCAATTATATCACAGCATCCTGCTATCATGTGACCGCCATTTGCAATCTTCATTGCTGGCTTCCAACAAATGTTAATAGGAAGCCACCAGGAGGTTGCAAATGGTGATCATGTGACTGAGGGATGCTACACCCATTCAGGATTCATCTAAAGAAGGCAACTGGGACAGCAGGAACTGTTATTATAAGTCAGGGGTCTTCAAACTTGGCCCTTTTATGACTTGTAGACCAACTCCCAGAAATCCTCAGCTAGCATGCCTGGCTGAGGAATTCTGGGAGTTGAAGTCTACAAGTCATAAAAGGGCCAAGTTTGAAGACCCGTTACAAGTTGTTGTGGTCATGTGACAATGACTTATGGCCACATCAGTTACACTGAATTTGCTGGTCCAAGTTACTGTTGGTAAGCAAAGACTGTCTACACAAGTGTAACTATCACCTATTTGTGTTCTGAAATCTGATTCAAATACACAATAGAAGGGTTGATCGACATGTCATTTGCTCCTGCAGATCCTCCTGCCCACCCTCCACTTTCTGCCCATGTTAACCTGCAGCATCATTTTTTTCCCCCAAAAATCAAAGACAGAAACCAGATAGACACACATCTTACAGAACTGCGAGAGAATGGATTGATCCCCTGGGATTTCCATATAGTAAAGGATAAACCAGCCTTCGATGACACCATGAACAAAAGCACAGATGGTAAACCAGCAAATGATCAAGGTGCGCCAAGTTCCAAAAGGGCCCCATGTCTTGCTTCGCCAACCTGCTACGAACCAAGTCAATAGCAAGAGAATTCCTAAAATAGAGAAGAAGAATGTCAAGAGCTGCCATAAGGGTCGGTCATTTGGGATGTAATTTTGGAGTTCCAAATTCCGAGGCCAATATGGGTGGTGGACAACATCAGGTTTTGCTTCCGGAACCATACTGGGTTGAGAAAGTGTGAGTTGAGCCCGTGGAAAAGGCAAGGGCTTCTTCTGGTAGAAAATGACCCACCTGCATTAAATACAGAGAACTAGTTAAGCACAATGTATGATCAGATTCTTTCAGTTTGACAGCTGACAAAATAGAAACAGAACTTATCTTAAAATCTGAACATACAAATACACATATATACATATGTTGCATTAAACAGTTGTTTTTATACCTATCCCGGAGTTCGATGATTTTTACACTTTTGATATGAATACACCTGGGATCCACATTTTTAAAGTAATTATATATATATATATATATATATATATATACACACACACACACACATTTTATATATATATATATATTTACATAATATATATAATATACATATATGTTATATTTACATTTTGCCGACAAAGAAGGGAGACTAGTATAGCTATTTCAAGCTATTTAGGTCTCATCAGGTAGCCATACCCTATACTCCATCCCATATTTGGGTAGACCGTGCTCTGTTAGACTGGTTTCACCAGAAACACTTAATATACGTATGTATACATATATAATATACACATATATACACACAGGGCTTTTTTGTCATAGAATGGATGGAACAGCGTTCTGGCACCTTTTTTTGAACAGAAGAACTGGTTTCTTCTAAGCTGCCAGCGTAAGAACAGGTATGGCTACAGAGCAATTTTGTAGACTCCCAGTGGCCCGATCCGGGCTCTGGAGGCCTGGAAAAGGCCTCTGCTGCCTGGATCTATGGCTGCAGAGCGATTTCGTGCCCCCCCCCCATTGCCGATCCAGGCTCCGGAGGCCTTTTCCATGCCTCTAGAGCTCAGATCCATGGCCATGGAGCAATTTTGCAGTCCCCCAGCGGCCCGATCCAGTCTCCAGAGGTCTTTTCCAGGCCTCTGGAGCCCGGATCGGGCCGCTGGGGGGGGGGCTGCAAAATCGCTCCGCGGCCATGGATCTGGGCTTCAAAGGCTTGGAAAAGGCCTTTGGAGCCAGGATCGGGCCGCTGCCCCCTCCCCACAAAATCGCTCCCTAAAATGGTTTCTTTCCCTCCCCCCCTGCTCCCTAAAGGGAGCCGGAGCTGGAGCCAGAGCTGTGCATGAGTTCTGGCATTTTTTTTTTTTTTTTTTTGCAAAAAAAGCACTGTGTACACATTTATATATCCAAAAGTCATAGCACAGTCTTAAGCTTTTAAATTGTCTCTATGCAACAAAAATTTTTAAATACATTTGCATTACACAATACAGCTGCTCCTTTCACAGAAATCACTCCAATAGATGAGCTGATTTCAAAGGAACAAAGATCCCTAGAAGGAGCATGTTCCTTCAGGAAGCAAAAAATTGGCTCCAAGCAGTGTCTTCTCAAGTCTACCATCCTACAATGCCACAGTTCAGCTCAGAGGGTTACTTATTGAACTTTCCACCTTCTAACGAACTTCAAAGCAATACCTCCCAATATCCAGTGCCATCCATGCACACAAAGTGGCCATTGTATGAGAGTCTTCGTAACTTTTCTTTTTTTAGAATTGAGAGTAATAGACATTTACAGCAATATTATTCAATCGCTGTTAGAAACCTAACAGTTTACTGAGATTCCCGGTTTGCCAATGCGGATACTGGAAGGCAAGCTCCGTCTTCCACGTCCGATTTCGCACTGCTGGGGGACTCTGGAAAGGGTCGAAAGTACCCCTTCCGCTCAATCCGAGGCAGTCCTCCAAACCGGTGGACAAAAGACTGGCTATAGAAATATGACCCGTCACTAAGCTGCAGACAGCCGAAGTCAAACTTACCACCAGGCACCTATAAAGCACCACGGATGAGACTGGGTGAGATCTGAACCTCTCTTCAATCCTAACTATTTTTTCTACCTGTATAAGCTTCCCAAAGTATTTTCCCCTCTGTGGAGAGAGGGGAGGGAAATTCTATTCCAGTCCCTAAAAAAAGTGGCGACTGACTATCCAGGGGAGTTTAAAACGCTGAAAGAATAACGTGATTCTAATTGGATTTTGATCTTTCTAAAATTTGAGGATTAAAAGATTTCTTATTCTTATTGAAGATCTGGGTTGTTACTTACAAAAAATTGGAAAAAAGATTATAAAAATTTTGGACTTAAAAAAATCTTAAATGGTATGGGTGACATCTTGTGGCTACACCTGATATTACAACTTGTTATTGTCTAATATAGAGACTTGGTTTGAAGCCCAGACTATAGATAAGACTTTTGCAACCTTGGCAGATATCAGCTTGAGAAGCCCAGCTGTGTTCTATACTCAGTGACAAAATTATTTTCATTCTCTGATTGTAAAGATTTTAACCAAATATACTACTAAGAGAATATGGATGAAGATCAGGTACAGATTCTCTTTATGTTGAAAGCAATTGATGAAACTATTCTTACAGCTTCTGATGAAATAAGAAGCTACAGAAAAGAACAAGATGTCAGCCTAGATATACAAACCCAAACTGATTACAACTAAAGAATCAACTACAAAGAATATAATAGAAAAAGTGGGACAATCAAATACTATGATAGAAGATTCAACTGATCAACAAACACAGTTAACGGAAAACCCAGAAAAGGGACTGACAACATTGAAAATGGAGAAAACTTTCTATATAAACCAGTAGAAACCTGAGAATCAAGAAGAACAGACCCAAGGGAAGATAAACATTTCAGGACAACTGCGCCAAGATAGAAAAATAGAGAAACGATTTGTTAGCCCTTCCAAAAAAATGGTGACTGGGTGGCCTCTTTTATCTCAAACAATATGAGGATTACAGTAAAATAGAATATACTCAAAACAGACAAGATGTGTACTTTGAATACTAGATTTTGTTATGAACCGAGATAAAGAAAACTTTGGTCACTTAAAACTTGGAAGTATAAATTTTAAAAGTTAAATTTGAATATTGATTTGTTTATAAAGGTTAAAAAGCAATTAAGATATATATAAGCTAAAAATCTATTGATAAATATAATAAACCTGTTTTTACTTAGCTGATATAAGAACTGTACTAGCTTAAATATAAGATAGACATTAAGAGAAAAAGAAAGTATTTGTGTTGAAACAAGAGAAAATTTGGTTACTAAATTTAAGACATTTGGAAATTAATAGAAAATAAGAATGTTATACTGTATTATTAATTAGATGATGTAAGATGGTGAGAAATAGAATATATTCAAATAGAAAAGACATGTATCCTGAATATTAGACTTTGTGATGACTTGCGATAAAGGGAACTTTGGTTACTTAAAATTTTGAAACTATAAATATTAAATGTTAAATTTAAATATTAATGAGAAACTAAAAATTGAGAAAACTAATTAGGACATTGTCTATAAAGACTGAATGTTAAAATAACCAGGATATGTATAAGCTAAAAATTATTGATAAATATAAGAATGTTATTATTATTTAATTGATATAATAAGAATTGTATTAGTTTAAACACGAGACAATAAATACTAAGGGGAAAAGAGAGGAACTATTTAATGTGGTAGTTTGAGACTTGTATGTCATTGAATTATCGATTAACTCAGCCGCCACATTGCTTTTGACAATCTTACACCCCCCCCCCCAATTATCCTTCGGTTTCAATTTAAGACAAGGAAAGAAAAGTCTTTTTCACAACTTTTTTTTCTGTAGAAGAAGATTCTTGCCTTCGCTTTCTCCGTTCTGAGATTTAGAAACTCAAACTGCGCCCATTATTCCAAATACGGAGCCCTGAATTTTGGACTCAAAAGCAAATCAGGAGGATGGTCTTAGCAAGACCTTGTGCAAAAAAAACCTCTTACACCACGGGCTGTAATGAGGCACTCTGCAAATACAGTATATAAAAGATTTGTGCCCCTAAACACAACATTTATCCCATATAATCTTTGACCATAAGAGAAACATTACAAAATCTAAATCAATCAGGAAATCTTACACGCAGGTCAGTTTTTCAGATAACACAAATTTTATCTCAAACCTTACTCAACGTAGCTTGCAAAACTTCTGCACCAAACGCTTCTCGTCCGTTCCCTAAAGCCTCCCAATAAATCCAGTAGCACCCTCGGCTGGTATGGCAACAGACAGGTAAGCCAGCCAATCAACGTCTGCAACGACAAAGGCAGGGCTCTTATAGGAGTTTTTTTTCTTTACTCATGAAACTGGCAAACCGATTGGTGGAAGGTGGCTGAGACTATGTGGATTCGTGCATAGTTTTCACCACTTTCTTGCGTCGTTTTTCTGGTCAGTTGTGTATCATTTACTTACTACTTATCTAAAAAAATCTATATAATTGCCCATCTACTTAAGGAATTATAACTCAGGGTTCAAGTAGCCATGATTTATTGAATAAACTACCATGGCTGGGTGCAATAAATATGTTGAAGGCATACTTCACTGGTTATGTTGAGACGCAGAGTAGCTCTGATTTCTCAGAGACCTCTTATAGCTCAGTTCTATTATCATCTTAATCACTAGGCCTGCTAATCATTCCGACCCAGCCTCAGTGGGAATTGTAGTCCGTGGTATATAGAGAACATCTGATTGGGAAAGTTTGAAACTTAAAACATCCTTTGATTATACAATCTGGGACTTTAAAAATACCTGTAGCACTGAGCTGTATGTAAAATGCAGCTTAGACATCCATTAGTGAAATCTCCCTTGCTCTACACCAGCGGTTCTCAACCTTTGTGTGACGGCGACCCCCGTCACACGGACACGCCGCGCTGCAACGCACATGCGCGGCATCACCATGTGCGGCACGCATGCGCGGCACCGCCCCCTGAGGGGGGAAAATGGCGGATCGCGTTGTTTGGCGACCTCCGTAAAATGGTCGTTCGACCCCAAATAGGGTCGCGACCCATAGGTTGAGAACCGCTGCTCTACACAGTTCTCATAGCTATGAAAGAATCAGAATAGAGCTGGAAGGGACCTTGGAGGTCTTCTAGTCCAGCCCCCACCCTAGGAGATCCTATACCATTTCAGCCAAGTGACCATCCAATCTCTTCTTAAAAACTTCCAGTGATGAAGCACCAGCAACATCTGAAGGCAAGCTGTCCCACTGGTTGATTGTCCTGGCTGTTAGGAAGTTTCTCCTTAATTCCAGGTTGCTTATCTTCTGTAGATTTTTCTACAGAGGGTCAAAATAAAAGTGCTTGCCTCTTGCGTAGATCCAAGCTGTGTGAAAAACCTTGTCCTGGACATATCCCACTTGAAAATGCTGCTCCTGCTCTCATATTTGTTGCAACTTTTATTGTGAATTTTATTCCCAAGCCGGCTTCTCTCCCCTCCGGAGGTACAATTAATATCATGCTTTTTCGCAACATTCTTTGGGTTTCCATTTCCGGCTCCCATATCGTTGCTCCTGAAGCCGTAATTACGTAATCTCTTTCTGCCTGTTCGCAAGTGTTTTGGAGAAATACAGATCACCCGCCTTTTTCCGACCTTCTCAAGATGGAGGAGACGTCAGTCTGCTCGCACAGTCAGGCTCATTTCGACCAACTCACTTCTTCTGTCCAATCACATTGCAGTTCAGATCTTCTGGGCTGGGCGTATTAGCCTTTCGAGCTCGGATTGGTGAGTTCGGCACCATGGAAGAAAGGCGGGAAGCTGTAAGAACGATTAAATCGTCCGTGGATGGTGGAGTTGGAGAAACGATGGAGGTGGAAGCGACCGCAGTGAAGTAAGTACATGTTATCTCCTTCGCATGGAGATAGAAACGCGGTTCCCTATTTTCCTATACCGCAGGGATGCATTTTACCCGAAGTAGAAAAATCAGAAGGTGCCTAGAGCAAATGCTTTTGCAACCGTGGCAACTTTTAAGATATGTGGATTTCGATTCCCAGAATTCCCAGCCAGAAATTCTGGCTAGGAATTCTGGAAGTTGAAGTCCAACATCTGGAAGTTCCCAAAGTTGAGAAACACTGATCCAAGAAGATACGATGTAGAAGAGAGGGCGAAAGAGTTAGGTAACTTTAGGTTGTGGGCGTAGGAGACTTCCTTGCTCCTATGTCTGATTTCCATATACTCCTGCATTTGGCAGCCTTGCTTAGTAAGATTATGGAGTTTGGCACTGAAATATAGTTCAAATCACTTCCCTTAGATACGGAGATATTGAAATTCTTGGCTTCAGAATACAGAGATGGATTTTAATAACTTTTTAGTTGTTACTTATTGAACTTTAAAAAAAACCAGTTTCCTGTAGAAAAATAAAATTCCTTGATACCAGTTCCTCCTATTTTTAGAACAGGAAGTATCCCTTAATATTCTTAAATTGTTTAAGATAATTGTGTTCCAGAAGCAAAATACCCTTACAATCAATTTGTTGTTGTTGTTAATTGCGAAGTCGTGTCCGACCCATCGCGACCCCATGGACAATGTTCCTCCAGGTCTTCCTGTCCTCTACCATCTTCATTAAAATCTTTTCAAAATCTTCTGCGGAAACTGTACATTTTTTTGATCAAGCATCATTCATGTTAGCTTTGTTTTGCTTTATTATACTCATCTAATTAAGTTAATATGATGGTCCTTCAATTCTTTATCCTCTAAAAACCACAGCTTTCATATTTTGGTATTCTCTTCTTGCAATAACTTTGGGATTGTTAAGTGGCACAATGAGATACATGTAGCATTTTGTAAAAATGAGAATAGATTATAAAGAAAAAAAAACATTTCTTTGATTCTTCCAATCAGCAATCTTCCAATATTTGAGGAGCTATCACCGAGAAGGGAGGGGCAGGTTATTCTCCCAAGCATCTGAAGGCAGGACAAGAAGCAACAGATCAAAATTTATCAAGGAAAGATTCAACCTAGAACTAAACAGAAATTTCCTGGCAATGAGATCAATTAATCAGTGGAACAGCTTGCATCCAGAAGTTGTGGCTGCTCCAATTCTGGAGGTTTTTAAGAAGAGATTGGACAACCATTTTGTCCAGAATGGTATAGAGTCTCCTGCTTGTGCAGGGGGTTGGACTAGAAGACCCCCCCCCAAAGGTCCCTTTCAATTCTGTTATTCTGTATTCTGATATTTTTCCAGTTGTGCGTAAAACAGTTTCAGCTACTGCATTTTTTTTTTTTTTTTTAGAAAATGCTTTAATCTATTTTTTTAATAGAGTGAGGCTGCCTCAGAAGCTGGCTGGGAGTTTCACAGTGACGTTGGGAATAAGGACAGTCACATTTCCTTGTTGCACATACTTAGTATAATGTGCAGTCACTGGAGAGTTATATTATATTAGTTAGTTATAGTCTGGATTTTCCCTTCAGTTAGGAAGTGACAAGGAACTGTCACTTTCTCATGCATTAGATGTCAAAGACATCTAATGCATGAGAACAGTAGCGGACAATCTGCATGTTTTTTCCAAGCTCTCTTTTTGACTTCCTCTGGTTCCTTTGGCCATAATTACTGAAAACTAACAGCACATTTTTCTGCATATTAAGGTAGAAATGCATGAGAACACACTACAATTTTAATTGTAGTAGAATTACAATTCTGCCTCACCCTCATACGTGATGAGAAATCCTGCCTCACCCTCATATGTGATGAGGCCCCATACACACTATATGGCCTTTGTCTCCATGTGTTAAGGGTGGTGATTGGCTACTAAACTATAGTCAGTATGGAAAATCCTCATAGCAGATAAATCATGTAAAAGTGTTTTTAAGAGATTTAAAAGACTTGGAAATGACTATTTTCTGTATATCATGGTTGTTTATGTCCTCTTCAGGCTTCTATCTCAGATCAAAGATATTTTAACGTATGAGGATCAAACCACAAGTGAAACGAAATTGGAATTACCAGCCCAGGTCTTGGCTGAGCATTCAGTGGTGAGCAATAGCCTCATTTTTCTTTAAGATGTTATCTTCAATTCTAGATGAATGACTCTGCCCAAGTTTCTTAAGAGCTACTTCCATTCCCACTTTTGGAACATGTTTTCCAGAACACTAGGAAGACTCAGAAGTTGATGTACACCCAACTACAAGTGCTTAAATTCCTTCTGGATTTTCTTGACTCTGCACCTCGCATCCAGGATGCCTCTGACTCTGCTGTTCGTGAGTATCAGGGCTCAGCAGATTACATGCAGTGGTGTGATGCAAATGTAGTCTGGGTAAGGATGCTTCTGTTTAAAAATAACATTTTAAAAATGAAGTAGTCCTGCAGAATGGATGGCTCAATCCTTGTTTGATCTTCTAGAATTCCTATCTAGGATCAAAAAAAAGGTCTGTTTTCCATAGGGCTCTCTCTTGCGATAATCTCTGTCTCTGTGTCATGTAACACCTGAGCACTGTTTTCAGAGACAATTTAGGAGGACTAGGAAAGGTTTTGAGTTAGTTGTGTGTACTTTTATTCATCTGGTGTGGGTTCGCATATTGTGCATGGTGATTTAACTCTGACTAAATGAACATCCATCCTTCTTGGAAGTTTGGAAACATGTCTGTGGGAAGATCCATTCTGGATCACACCAAAGCCTCTTTAGTTCAGCATTTTGTTTCTTTTTTTTAATAAGTATTTTATTGATTTTCTATTATTACAAAACATAAATGGTTAGTAAACAAGCGTGATGTTTGGATACATTTGTTACTCAATGTTGCATCTTAACTTCAGTATAAATCTATCCAATGCTACACACTCCAGTGTTTTCTTTGATCCCCTCTTCTTCCCCTGATTTCCATTTTCTCAACATTAAACAAATACAATTCTTACTACTATTAATACACACAAAATTACGTCTTCATATTTATCTAGAGTTATACAAATAGCAATAGTATCAATTTATAACCTCTTTTCTAACCACTTTATATTTAGATTGTATTTTCAATTAAAGTCTCTTTATTAAATCAATGTCCTGTTTTCCGAGCTCTTACTTAAGTTTAATTTCCCAACAGTGTTCTAAATATCTTTGTCAGTTATGATTTTCTCAAAATTAGTTACATTTATCTAGCCGTTTCATTTATACAAACCATCCTAGTGTTTTTATAATTCCCATATAAAAAGAGTGCTATTCTAGTTATAAATCATATCTTATTATAAAAATCTATATGTGTTATCTATTCTTTTGTCCATATTCAAGCAAATATTGGCTTATATAATACCCCATCTGATATATCAAATCTTCTGTTTTTTTAGTAACTCTAGCTTTCTTTCTTTGCCAGTTAGCTTTCCAGGCCAAAGTAATTAAATTGCCAACATATTCTTCCTTTGTTTTTGTAAATACTGCTTGGAATGGGAAAAACAATTTTAAGTAGGGTATTTTTGAGGGAGAATTCTGCCCAGTTGTATTCATTAAACAGCTCCCACTTTTTTTCTCCCTCAGTTTCTCTTTTCATTTTTTGTCCCCCAATTTCTGACATTTCCCCTAACAGCTTTATAATCTGTTTTTTAAATTGTCTTCCTTATCTTCGGGTATATTTTGAAAACCTAAAGAATAGAGTGCCCTTTCCCTTTCCATTGTTGTAGCTAAATTGTGCAGATTTTTATTTGTCTGTGCCAAATTATGTTTCCCTTCTTTTATATCTTGTGTTTTCAGATCAATCTCCTCTGGTTCATCTTCTGTTTTCTGACTTGTTCATTCTTTATAGTTGTTTTCTGGGAACTTTCTAGTTGTGAGTTTAAATTAGAGATTTGCTCATTTATATTATCAAAGTTGTTTTTAATCTCATGATTTCTTCTTGCATCTTCTTTATGTGAAATAATTGTCTCCTGAATTAATTGTAACGTAGAGTGCACTTCCTTTTGAAAAATGTTTACTTCTTCTTGAGGCGTCACTCCTACAAATCCTTGGTAAACTTGGCTGGGGGCTTCAGATGGGAGTATTAAGTATGTTTCCCTACTATTTTTAGCTAGATATAAAGGATCTATTTTATTTCCCTGCTCCAGATATTCTGTCAGAACTGTTGTGATCCCCGCATACTAATCTTGTCTTATACCACCAATCTTAATGTCCAGAAAACAAAGTCTCATCTGATTCTTCTGGTCTTTATATACAGCCTTTATAATCCAATAAATTCCAGGATATAAATCCACCACAGAAAGCAATATTTTGTAGTAGTCCTTCTCAGGTGTTCAAAAATTGTCAATCAGCCAAAATTTACAATCCAAGATGTTCAAAATGTTCAACCACCCTAAGGGCAATCCAAAAACCTCCCCCAGACAAATGTAGTCAGAAGTCAAATTTTTCTTTCTCTCCAAATAATTCTTAAGATTAAAAGTCAGAGCTCAGTTTAAAATCCAAGAAAGTCAACAGGCTTCAAAACAATTAGATTTTCACACTGTAGTAAGTATGCCAAAATATTTTTCCCTGTTGCCAGCTGTTCTCTGTTGAGTTAAAAGTCACCAAACTACAAAGAAAGTGGGTTATTTGTTTCTAGGCTCCCTGTGAGGTCTGTATTGATCATTGCAGCTGTGGTGTTTTACTCTAGTCCACCACTAGATGTCATTCAATATTCATTTTCCGACTCTTAAAATAGAAGGTTGTTTTCTTATATTTCACCCCAGTATTTTTTCAAAGAGAAAATCTTAACAATTTTTTCAGTTCTCAAAATTGTCAAAACTATAGCTTTGTATTACTTCCACTTGAATGTTAAATGTTTCTGTCCTCCATATAAAAAAATATTTAAACGGTGCTTCCGTTCCTGTGGAAGAGTGGGGCTGCAATCCCTTTTCCTCTTCGCATTTGGAGATTTTTAGCTTCCTGGAGCCTTTTCCAGGAAATCCAGTTGTAAAATAGTAAAGAAAGGATCAATATTGTCACCCAGTTCCAAACACGCTATTTACAATCTGCTAATTAGTGCTTCTTTCTTCGGTTGTTAGTAATTGGAGACTGGACACAGAAGTGCAGCCAGTCTTTCCCCTGCTGGTTTGGAGGGATTTCCTCTGATCAAATGGTTCAACTGCCATCTCTCTGTGATCGACGAGGCACCCCTCCTTTTTCATCACATCTTTGGGGCAATTTTAGGCCTGTTTAGGGCCCCTTGCAGGGCAAAATCAGGCACGGAATGCAGAGCCCTGCCTTCCTGCGTGTATATTGCTACAACATCAAATCGGAACTCAGCATTTTGCTTCTTTGCTGGTCAGTCAAATCCTTTTGTGACGCCCCAAGCAGATAAAAGAGCAGTAGCATCCTGCATAGCAAATTGAGAAATTTACTGCTTCTGTTACTAGAAATAATGTGGAACTACCATGACAGGCCTTAATTAGTACCATCTTATTAAGAATGTTATTTTCCACCAATGTATCTTCTTGGTTATGGGTAGTTTGAAAATCCCAGCTGACATCTGGATTCTCTTGGGATACGTCAGGCTCAAAAACAGATTATGGTCTCTTGTAGGGAAAGAAATGGAAGAAGCCAAAAAACAGTGGAAGGCACTCAAAGCCGATTACCAGCAACAGGTGGAAGCTATCAAGGGAGCTGTGCCTCAGATACTGGCCAAGCAGGAGGAGGTACAGAGCCGGGCTCGGCTTTTGAAGGAGGCTCTACAGCGCTACCGAGCAAAGGTTCTTTTCTGACTTGGGAGTGATATTGGGGGGATCGATAATTGAGGTTCAGAGTGGTGGTCAAACATTTGCCAGCACCCAAGTTATCAAGAATATTTAAGCACTGTATAGCTGTATCAATATCTATCTATCTATCTATCTATCTATCTATACACACACATATATATATATATCAATATATATATATGTGTGTGTGTGTATGGTTTCTGAGGTTTTCGTGGGTGTTTGTACGTAGGTCTTTGGTTATTCGGGTTTTCTCCTGTGTAAAATTGGAAGTGTCTTGGTGACGTTTTGACGAAGTCCCATTCGTCATCTTCAGGCTGATGTTTTCAGCTTCTTGCTTCGAAGAGTAAAACTGAAAACACCAGCCTGAAGATGACGAATGGGACTTCGTCGAAACGTCACCAAGACACTTCCAATTTTACGCGGGAGAAAACCCGAATAACCAAAGACCTACATACAAACACCCGCGAAAACCTCAGAAAACGTGTATATATAATAATAGAAAATAAAAACGTGATTCCTGGGTGAATCCATAACCAATAAAAATGTGAACACCAGGAATATAATCAACTGGTTAATGCTGGTCTATGGGAGAGTGTGCAAATTTGCCGTGTGCAAATGACGACTCACCTATAAAAGCACTCTCCCATAGACCAGCATTAACCCTGACGATGTCAGAAGTATCTGACGAAAGCTTGGTGATCTGTGATGGTATTAAACTTTTTTAGTTGATTATATTCCTGGTGTTTATGTTTTTATTGGTTTTATATATATATATATATATATATTAAAAACAATACTAAAAATAGAAGCATGATTCCTGGGTGTATACATGTTGAGAAGTTAATAACCAATTTCCCTTCCTGGATGGCTTAGTCTACAAGAAACGCAATGGCTCCCTAGGACACACCATCTACCAGAAGAAAACACGCACAAACCGCTATCTGCATGCTTTCTCACACCACCACCCAGCACAGATCAACTCCGTAGCCAAGACACTCATCTCCAGAACAAAACACTTAGCTGACGAACAACACCTAAAAACTGAACTACACACTCTCACCAATGTACTAACATCCAATGGATTCCAAAGAAATAAGATTACAAATCTAATCCAAAAAGAAACCCGCACTAAAATCCAAGACAGAGAACAAGAAAACGGCAAAGCCCTCCTTCCATACATAAAAGGCACCACAGACAGAATCAGCAAGATCCTCCATAAACACAACATCAAAACAGCATTCTGCACAAACAGAAAAATATCCACCATCCTAAGAAACCCCAAAGATAAAATTGAGTTAGAAAATCAAGGAGTATATGAAATCCCATGCACTGCTTGTCCCAACACATACATCGGACAAACCAACAGAAGAATAAGTGCACGCATTGAAGAACATAAGAACTCAGTCAAAAAAGAGGAACCAATATCTTCCCTGGTCCAACACCTTAAAGCCACAGGACATGAAATTGACTTTAAAAATACCAGAACTATTGCCAAAACTGAACATTTTAATAACAGAATAATCAGAGAAGCCATGGAGATAGCAAAACTCCCACACAGCATGAACAAATGAGATGATACCTCCCGCCTACCAGCCATTTGGAAACCCGCCCTTATTGACAAACGACTCCCTAACACAAAAAATGACACCAGACCCACACTCACAAAAACCACACAGGATGTCACCACCACACATCCACGCAAAAAGGAAACCCAAAGCCACACCGATGATGAGGCACGACCACGGACCAGAGGCCAGACCTCAGCTGCATCATTAGCCACTTTAAACCCCTCCAATCCATACATGAAGCAAACTGACACCCACCATGAAGATGAGGCATGACCATGAACGCAAAGACAAAAAATAGCAAGGCAGCCCACCATCTTAAGCCCCCCTGCAACCAAAGACCTACATACATACATACATACATACATACATATATGAGAATCACTGGTTTAAGTGAATACTTAAATTTAAGCTTCAATTAAAAGAAGCAATGCTTAAAACAGAGCAGAGCTGAAGATGGCAAGCCTGCCTGTTAATTTATTTTCCATTGGAGCTTGTGGCCATTAACTGGAGCTTGTACCCAACTGATTTCCATGATATATATAATCCTTCCGGAGAAGCCTACCTAGGATTCGATTGTAGAGTCCCAACTGGCAGTGGAAATTATTTGCTTATTATCAGTAGACTTCACAAAAATGCTAGCTTATATTTTATGCGGTGATGCTAGATTTGAATAGTCAGAGAAAGGTGAATAATTCATCTGTCTTTCTTGCCAGAAGCAGAAATAAAATCATGTGTGCACATTAGATCACAGGCAAGTTCAGTATGACGGGATGAATGATGGGTCTTTCTATATCTACAGTACAATAAGCATAATGCAGAGTTCCCCAACCTTTCTGGCTTTGCGGATTGGTGGGGATGGGGGGGAGAGGGGATGGTTCTGCGTGAGTGGCAGCCATTTGTGCAAGCTGCGGGCAAGCATGCACATGCTCACGCAAATATAATGTACATGCACGCAGTCACCTGCTCACACAGGTGGAGAGGCATGTGCGTGCTCGCCCACTACTTCCGCAGCCCAATTCCGAATGGCTCAAGGGCTGGTAGTGGTCCATGTGCTGGGGGATAATGGATTGTCCCAGCCAATCTGCTATAATTCTACTCACTCCATGGCATCCTTGATGGTCTCTGAGATGGTTTGTTTGCTTGCAGACGCTTCATTAGCCAACAAGGTACAGTAACATAATCAGCGCTCACATTTTGTTATTCAGCAAGGAAATATTATCCGTGCTGCTGTTATAGCACTGGTGAGGTAATCTCATTAAGTAATGAAATCTCTGCCAGCAAACAATCATGCTTGGAGAGCATCAAGGTCTCCATTGATCAGCCCTAAGCAGCAGATGTTCTCTTCTATGGGATCTACTTAGTCTAATCTTGCCTTTCCTTGTTAGAAAGAAGAGGTAGAGGAAAAAGCAAGGACTGCCCAGAAGAGGAACCTGAAAGAACAGGTGGGGCTGTTCAGATCAATTAATTGCATCTCGGTTCTTTCCGAGCAGCCAGTGGAACTCATTGGCTGGTTTTTGCTTCCTGTTGCCCCCACAGGAGCTCTTGAGAGAGCGCCAGCAGCAACTAGAGCAACGGGTGGTTGAATTGCAGGACAGGTTGCAGAAGCAGCAGAAGGAACTGGAATGCTTGCAGGGAGAGGTTGGGGAGCAAGAGAGCCAAGCCAGGATCTGGCAAGAGAAAATGCAGAGGTGAGGAGAGAAAGGGAAGAGTTTAATGTTTATTTGTCAAACGAAAATTACAAATTTGAACAAGCAAAATAAAAACATTAAAATGTGACAGGGATGACAGGCACGTTAGTGCACTTGCACGTGCTATTGGACAAAATACAAAATAGGGCATTGGCAATTGCAGATGTATTGCTTTCAGGGATGTGTGAGGCAATGGGGCAAAAAAATGGAAATCCTGGCAGAAAGGCAAATATATGCATTATTTAATTGTTCATACAGCTATTTTAGAAAACCCGTTGCATGCAATCTGAATTGCAGATAAAAGCGATCAGTGCTTGAAATAGTGGGAATGTTATCTGCTTTCATTCCAGAAGCCACAGAAGTTAATAAATAAGGGCGTGACCTTTATTTCTGTAGTTATTTGTAACTGCTCCATTGAACAAAATGGTGTAGCAGATTGCAAAACATGGATTAAAATTTGTTTGTTTAAAAAAAAAGGGGGTGGGGGGTGGGGGAAGAATCCACCTAAGCCCTCCACTGTGAATGATCTTGAGAATTAGCTGTACATGCTTTTCTTTTTCTCCCTTTCCTATTTTGGACTTTATGTTTTTATTGTTTTATTATTTATCATACCCAGAGTCTCTGATTTCCAATGCCTTTTGGAAAGCTTGCAAGGGGTAAAGGTGATCTGTGTCTCGGAGAATGACATGGAGGTGGAGCTGACTTCTCCACCTCAGCCTGAGATTTCTGCTCCTCGTTGTCTGAAGCTGCATTTACACTGGGGGAAGGATGGCAATGTCACTTTGCAGGCAAGAAAAGTGGGGACTGAGTTCTACTGGCCTCAGTGTGATCGGAGCACCATCCTGATCTTTCTCTCTTCTCCATATAGAGTGACAGCCCTTCTTTTCTTCTCCCTGGCAAACTTCCCCTGGGAACTTGCAGCACCATCAAAGGGGTCCTCTTGGAGTTGCAGCACAGCTATTCCCAACAAGCAGAGCTTTTGGCTGAGATCGAATTATTGCAGAATTGGTGAGCACCTTCATTTATGTTGCTGCCTGCTCCTTAGGGCCTAAGGCAGGGATGTCAAACTGCCGGCCCATGGGCCGGACAAGTCATGCAGAAGCTGCGCCCACCCCATTGCCGGCAGTGGCAAAACTGTTCCGATAACGTTGCGTGATGTCGTAAGTTTGACATGTCTGGCCTAAGGTGATCTGAGGGAAGATTCTGAGCACTGCATGTTGGGAAAAGGGTAAGACATCCCCCCCATCCCTTGAAAATTTGCCTGGTTTATAATGAATTCCAGCTTCATTCCCAGCTTGGCTTGTAGCAGGTTTTAGCTTCCTCCCAAGGGGTTTTCTACTTAAAAAGTGCTGGGTACAAGACTGAGAGAGCGGTTCTGCCTTATTCCAGAAATGTGATTTATTTATTGTTTATTTATTGGAGTTTTATCCCACCTTTATTATCTTTTTAATAAATAAGGCAGGAAAGATATATAATACTCCTTCTACCTCCTATTTCCCCTATAAAAACCCTATGAGGTGGTTTGGACTGAGAGTATGTGACTGGGCCAAGTCCCCCTGCTGGGTTTCATGCCTATGGCAGGATTAGAACTCACAATCTCCTAGTGTCTAGGCCAGGGGTAGGCAACCTTGGCTCTTTTATGACTCGTGGACTTCAACTCCCAGAATTCCTGAGCCAGCCATGCTGAGGGGAAAGGGAGAGTTTCCAAGCTGAGCCATGCTGTATCAGGAATTCTGGGAGTTGAAGTCCACGAGTCATAAAAGAGCCAAGGTTGCCTACCCCTGGTCTAGGCCAACACCTTATTCACTACAGCACACTGGCTTATGGCAAATGCTCCTAGATACATAAAAATGGATAGTCTGCTTTCTTTTCTTTCTTTCTTTTTTTTACAAAATGGCCCCCCGGAAATTCACTGACTACCTCTCATAAAACACACAGTTCAAGTGACTGAGGTTAACTTCTTTGCTCTGCCTACAACCAAAGTGGAGAAGGAAACGACTGGTTTCAAATCAAGGAAACAGAACTTTTATCCCTACTAAAGTTTGCCTAAAAAGGGCTTAACTACTGGGGAAATGGGGATTGAATTTCTCTAGAATCCTGATTCTTGCCATAGGAAGAGGGAGGGAGGAAAAGGGAATGTGGCTGAAGGCAATATTTTATTTCCCAGTATACCTTCCTGCAAAAGAGAACTTGTGCCAGAGTTCTCATGGATCGCCTCTTGATTTTCATTAGGCTTGAAAATGCTTTCTGGTTTTTGCTTTAAAAAAAAAATAATAATAGGAGGTTGGCACATTACCAAGCACTGGATTCCAACATCATCTTTCTTTACGACAATACCTATGAGCCCAGAAGCTTTCTTTGAAAATACAAGGATGGGTGACTGTTTGGAAATAATCTACTGGTTCAGAAAAGGGACAAAAAAAATCAAGACTATCCTGCCGCAAGAGGAGCAAAGAGGGATGGCAGGCAGCTTTTGGATAAATCAGGGCCTTGTAACTGCTTAGATTTCCCTAGCAGCCATCTAGACAGAGTGGCTTTAGCAGACTCCCAAAATTTCATAGGTGCTCCAGGAGACTACACTGATGTTAAATTTAATTACAGCTGCAAGGTTGTTAGTAGTACAATGTTGGAAGAAGGAATCTTTGCCTACTTTGCAAGAATGGTTTCTTAAAGTTTCCTATTTGGCGGAAATGGCAAAGATTTCGGCCTTTTTGAAGGATCAATCGCAAGAGAAGTATGTTGTGGTATGGAAAAAATGGATAGATTTTATACAATATAAGTTAGATATAAAAAAATATTATTTAGTTTTTTTAACAATTTATATTTAAAATGGAATATTTTGGTTTTTTTTCTTTCTTTTTTTTGTTCTTTTTTCCCTTTTTTCATTCTTTTCTTTTTTAAATATTTATCTTTTGTATTCATGTTTCTTTTATATATATACTATTGTTAATCGTTTTATAATTTTTCTAATTAATGTATTTAGATTTTTAACTAATGTTAGATTTATTTATGGTTTATATCTTTTTTTAAGATTTTTTGATGAAATTCTAATTAAGCCTATATCCATCTCTGGGAAGGTCGGGGGAGGGAATGGGAGGGTTGGGGAGGTTGGGGGGAAGATTGTTTGGGGTTTTTTTGTAAAATTGTCAAAATTTAATAAAAATTATCTTTAAAAAAAAAAAATTCATAGGTGCTCCCAAATCCAGAAAGATTGGGGACTCTTACCTTAAAACACGGGAAAAGGGATTTTGCCCTGGCTTCTTAAACTCGGGAAGCCATCAAAAGAGAGGAGGAGTAGTTCACTGGGGGGGAGGGAGGGGATAAGCATGTTCTGCAGATTTCTGGAAGCATCATTTCTGCCATGAAAAATGGCGTTTGGTTGTAGCATAGAACAAAGTTGAGCTCACATCTGCCTTGCCCTCTTTTTCAAGGTCCTCTTTTTCTTATTCTTTGTGACTCTCCATGCCGTGGCAACTATTGTGCAGTCTCATGTTTTCAGATGGGTTTAAAACACTTGGGAGAGCCAGTCAGGTCCAGTTGTTAAGGTACTGGGCTAGAAACCAGGAGACTGTGATTCTAGGGCTGCCTTGGGTGGGCCCAGAGCCAGCTAGGTGGCCTTGGGTCAGTTCCTCTCCCTCAGCCTAAGTCCTGGAAGAAAAAGGCAAGGGCAAACCACTGGAGGCTAAAACATATGGAGAACAGTTACAGGAACTGGCCTCTAGTGAAGAGAAGGACCAGGGGGAGACATGATAGCAGTGCTCCAATATTTGAGGGGCTGTCACAGAAAGGAGGGGGGCAACCTATTTTCCAAAGCACTTGAAGGCCAGACAAGGAAAAACGAATGGAAACTGATCAAGGAGAGATTCAACCTAGAAATAAGGAGAAATTTTCTGACAGTGAGAACAATCAACCAATGGAACAGACTGCCTTCAGAAGTTGTGGGACCGTCATCGTTGGAGGCTTTCAAGAAGAGACTGGATTGCCATCTGTCAGAAATGGTATAGAGTCTCCTGCTTGTGCAGGGGGTGTTGGACTAGAAGACATACAAGGTCCCTCCCAATTCTGTTATTCTATTATTATTACTTCTGAAATCTTGTCTAGAAAATTACAGGGATTATTAATCCAGGCAATTGCACTGGATTGCACTAACTTGAAGGTGCATAACTGAGCAAGAGCAAGAGCAAAGCATGGCTCTATAATACAATATAGATTTGAGGACTCCTAGCATAGCCCCAATTCCATAGAGGTGGTCCTCGACTTACAACAGTTCACTTAGTGACCATTCAAAGTTACAATGGCACTGAAAGAATTGACTTATGACCATTTTGACACGACCGTCGCATCTTCCCCATGATCGCATGAGTCAGTTACGGTGGTTGCCGTATCCCAGGATCACATGATCCCCTTTTTTGACCTTCTGGCAAGCCAAGTCAATGGGGAAGCTAGGTTCACTTAACAACCGTGTTACTAACTGAGCAATTGCAGAGATTTACTTTACAACTGTGGCAGGAAAGGTCGTAAAATGGGGCAAAACTCACTTAGCCATCTTGCTTAGCAAGAAAAATGTTGGGCATAATTATGGTCATAAGCCGAGGACCACCTGTACTTTGAGCATTTCATGTCGTGTATGCATGCAGTCATGCCATTTTCATGAGGCATACTGTGCTAAGCAGAGACCCTCTTTCTTTCTCCTCTCTTATATTTTAACCCTTTCTCCTCTCTTCCCCCAGTTTTGCAATCGACTGGCAGCCGGAGAAGAGACTGCTCAGTTACTTGAAGCTGTCATCAACTTGCAGCCTCTTCGTGGAATCAGGATATCCAGCCAATGGGCAGATTCGTCTTCTCTCAGTAAAGACTCAACAAGGCACAGTTGATGTGACTTCCTACAAGGTTACTACACACCTGTCACTGCTGTAACTTCTGGCAAAAGATCAAGGCCTTAACTTGGCCTGGAAATAGATTTTAGAAATGTATTTTAGAAACGTAATGGTGAAGGTGAATCCCGTACAGCCTCACCCATTCAAGATTCTTTTGCTTCTGTCTCTGTTGAGGGCAATTCTCTTCGCCTCTGAGTTGCTAGTCATTCAAAAGAAGCAAATCAAGCCTTGAAACCCAGGAGGGGATTGAAATAATAGCCATAGGTATCCTTAAGATGCTGAGATTTTTAGCGACAGTGATAATTCACTGTGCAGGGATGGAGAACCCATAACATTTTAAAAAAAAAATCATAGCAGCCTTTGGCAGCACTGTCTGGATCTGCTCGTCACCGTATTTCCTCCACATCTGGAGGAGCACCAGTTTCCTACTCCTGTTTCAGGCAATCCCGTTTCTGTTTTCCAGCTGTGTTTCTAGATCTTGCCTTAGCACTTTTAGAAGGAGGCCCCAGACCCCAGAGCTGTGAGATTGCTATATATTTTCTATTGAAGCAGTAACAACATGCTGTTAATAGTCCATGCTGCAAAAAGTAGAATGTGCCTAGGTGTAAAACTTCAATTTTAAGACGTCCTCCCTTCCTTTAGTCCTCCTCCTAACTTCTGAACCTCTTTTTTTTTTTGCAGCCCCCCCAGGAAAAACCTTCACTACAAAATTGGTTGGTGTACCTGAGCACTATGGACTTCAATGTTCCCTTCCCAACCTGAAAAGCTGCTACTGCCTGTGTCTATAATGTGATGCAGATCAAGGGCCAGCATCTCTAGTTTAGGCCACCTTCTGGTATCCTTGGAAGAAGAAGGAAATTGAATTTAACTGGGACTGTTATACTGTGTGTGCAGATATATGTTTCTGTTTGTGTATGTGTGTTGTATTTTGGACTACTCTGCTTCCCTCACCTTTCACTCTTGCTTGTTTTGAATTAAGCTTCGAGTTCTCCTCTTTGAGTTCTTCTTTCCTGTCACTCTTACACAGTTTTATGGCCAGATGAGTGTTGCTCATCTATAATCTGTGTCTAGTACTTTACTTCTTCACATCGTTGTTGAACTTTTTAAATCAATAAAATCAATAAAATATTCCTTGGAGGTTTTTAACTCTC